TGGAATGACCTTCAGCTGGTCGGTTAGAGTCATTTGAATGTCCCAAAATTTTTCAACTCGGAGGAAAAAGTCAAAGGGACCCAAGTCAGACGAATAAGGAGGCTGAGGCGCCACATGAATGTTTTTACTGGTCAAAGACTGGTTTATTATCGTAATGAAACACCCAGTTGTTCTTGATCTAATGAACGGTGGTGTGCGTCAAATTTAACTCCCCTGGATCATCCTGACTGTTAACCCTTAACTGGTGACCATGGGTCTGACAGACCCTGCGCGAAGTTCAAATTACATACTCCCACTCCCGAATTTAACCAGATTGTCGCTTGTCCGACTAGGTACCCCTCTGATAGCTAGTTGCAAGAGAGACGTCGTTGTGTGAGCATTGTGGACTTTTACGAGAGAGTGTTCGCACGTTGTCAACTATTTCGCAAGATCCGTGAGACCCATCGTCACCATTTACGTGATTTTTGAATAATGGCATCTTCAAAACAAAGAATACGTGCAACTGATAAAGATTTCGAAACTATTGCTCAGCGATGGTATGAAGAAATAGAAAGTGACTTTACGGATCATATACAAGATGATGATATACAAGATCCCGATTATTACAGTGAGCATGATTCAACTTCAGAAATAGAAAATAATGAAGATGACGACGATTCTGCTTCGGAAGAGGAACTTGAACCTGAGACGGAGGAAATAAATGTTAGGGCGTATTATGGAAAAGATCGTTTTAAATGGTCTATGCAGGGAATGTAATTGCTTCGTCTACTTATTTAGGATATCATCTATTCTGATTCAATTTTTCTTATAGGTCCTGCTCCCCAGAGAACTGCAGCTCGTAGCATAATATCGCATTTGCCTGGTGTTAAAGGTCATCTGAGAGATCTTGGTGATAATGCTTCCCTCTATCAAATATGGAACCATATGTTTACGGATGAAATGTTGCAGGAAATTCTTACGCATACTAACTCTAAGCTAAACACTATAAGAATAAATTATAAGGGAGAAAATAGGCCAAAATTAGCGGAACTAAATTTAAACGAAGGCATTTATAGGTCTTCTCTATTACACCTCGATATTTAAATCCAATCATGAATACCTCGAATCTTTGTTTGCAACAGATGGGAGTGGACGTGATATCTTCAGATGCACTATGTCACTGAAGAGGTTTCCTGTCATCTTGGCTGTTCTCAGGTTCGATGATATAACCACTCGAACCCAAAGGAAAGAAGCAAATCCTGCAGCTGCGATATCTTCCATTTTTGAGCATTTTGTGAAGAACGCTCAGAACTGCTATTCCATCGGCGAACTAGCATGTATTGATGAAATGCTGGTTGGATTCCGCGGCCGATGTAAATTCAAAATGTATATAGGGAGTAACCCAGAGAAATACGGCTTGAAAATTCAAATTCTAACTGACGCACGTACAAGCTATTTTTGTAATGGCTATATTTATACTGGGAGATGTAGTGATGGATTCAGTCTCTCTGAAGAAGGAAAGAAACTTTCAGTACCCAGTCAATGTCTTGTACGCCTTTCTCAGCCCATCATAAACACTAATCGGAATGTTACAGCGGATAACTGGTTTTCTTCTGTTGAGGCTGTCCAAGAACAGAAAAAACGAGGACTTACGTACGCGGGAACAATGAGAAGGAACAGAAGACAAATTCCACCACAATTTCCGCCTAAAAATTCTAGACAAGTGGGATCATGCTTGTACGGATTTACTAGGGAAATTACACATTTGTCAATTATTCCAAAAAAAACAAGGCTGTTATCATGATATCATCACTTCACCATCAACAATGCACTGATCGGGAAACTGGGAAGCCCGAAATAATTGCTTTTTATAATAATACGAAGGGGGGGTTGATTCATTGGATCCAAAATGTGCAGCATATTGCACCAACCGTAGGACTAGGAGGTGGCCCATGGCTGTTTTCTATGCTATTCTGAATATCGCTTCGGTCAACTCATTCATAATTTACAATTCAAATGTTGCAAATGCAAAGACCACGCGTTTCTGTTTTGTCAAGACCCTAGCAAAAGAGCTTATATCGCCACATTTAAACTCAAGGCTAGCCAATAGCAGACTCCCACGAGAGAGAGAAACTGAGCCCTATAAACGGAAAAGATGCGGCATCTGTAGTTATCAAAACGATAGAAAAACTAATTTACGATGTATGAGATGTAGAAAACCCGTCTGCTTACCATGTGTGTAAAAAATATGTGTTCAATGTGCCAGGGAGTAACTTTTTAGTTTTTTTATTTTCCTCAAGTTCAAGTGCTGTAGTTTTCTAGTATATACGAGTATTTTTCTAACCTGTTTAATTTTTTTTTATTTCGTCTTTATCAAAGTTGTTTCACCAAACCCATATTATTTTCAAAAAAAATGTATATAAACAATTTAATAAGGTATGTTGTTCGAGAAATATGTGAAGTTTTTTTTAGTTTTCCTAATTTATTTTTAATAAATACATGGCTTGTCCGGAAATTAATAGGACTGAAGCGATTTAAAAAAAATTATTGAGCCAATCGTTACACTTCTTTAAAAACTTTCAAAATAGGCTCCTTCTTCCTCGATGCAGCGCGGCCAGCGCGATCTCCAAGCAATGAAGGCGTCACGGAAGGCATTCTCCGGAATAGCCTTGAGAGCTGCGGTGCATGCTGCTTGGATCCCCTCTGTCGTCTCAAAATGCTTGCCTGTCATCGGCCCTTTCAGGCGAGGAAACAAAAAAAAGTCCGGGGAGGGGGGCACATCTGGGCTGTAGGGTGGCTGCGGAAGCGCTGGGATGCCGGCCATGGTCAGGTAGCTGTTCTCAAGAAAGGCGGTGTGAGCCGGGGCGTTGTCGTGGTGCAACTTCCAGTCGGCTGCGATGTCTTGTCGGACCCGACTGATCCTTCGTTTAAGTCACCTGAGCACTTTTACGTAAAACTTGGCGTTGACGGTTTGTCCAGGAGGAACAAATTCATGGTGGACGATGCCTTTGATGTCAAAAACGACAATGAGCATCGTTTTCAGGCGGAAGAAAATGAGTCCTATTACTTTCCGGACAAACCCTGTACAGATAATCTTCAAAATTGTTTGTAGAACATTGCTATTTGCCTCGGACTATATAATATAGTTAGACAATACGTATATAAAATTAAACAATATCTAAAATACATACAAGAATATGAACAAAATAATATGTGGGTCTCAGAGACCCAGCGTCACCTATAACGTCATCCGAATGGCACGTCACCAGTTAAGGGTTAACCGACGAACTGAACAAACAAGATCCTGGATTCTGTCGATATTTTCGTCGTTAACGATTGTCAGATGGCTGCGCCGCCTACTCAGGATGCTGAGAATAAAACTGATATTTCCGACATTGAAGGTATATTTCATGAACATATATCGATAAAATATCTCCAATAAGGGAAATATTTCTTTCAGCAGTTTTATATAATAATATAAGGTTCACAATGGTACAAAAATTGATTTTAATGAAAATACAGATAGATGTATTCCAAATTCATGTTGGGTGCCGCAAAACACAGGTGTCTCACTTCATTGAATAGCTTCTTGGTAGTTCAGAAACAATACAGAAAACACAAATGTAATTCGTAATTCTTTGTAAATAAGACAGTCACTTTTAATTAGTTTGCTGAGTCCTATGCCTTTAATTTGTTGGCCTAGATGGGCAGAATTTCGATTTATAACGCTTAGGGCTTTATGACTGTACTCTGCTGATATTACAATATCTCGTTTAATCAAAAAAAAAAAACTTTCGTACTGTATATAACGGAGCCAACTACAAGGATCATAAAAAGGCTGAATCCAGACATGCAATTTTAAATAATCTACCAAGTACATCATGCCGATATGTTTGCGCAGCTTACCTGTAGCACTTCATGACTTATGACAGAGTCTCCTGAACTTCTGCATCTCCCACGATAGTCACAATAGATCTCACGTATACCATCACAGCTACTGATAGTGTAGCTTCATATTTTATACTCGAAATATCTCCGAAAGCGTCAGCGTTGATAATCTGGATATCAACCAAAACAAACGCCATGTTTGATATTTTTTCATTTATATAAAGATAGAGAATGCCGGCAGGCAGTTCGTCACGTGTCGCCGGTAATGCAGTTTCCTCGATTTCACCATGTATGCCCATAAGATGTGTCACTCCCGTTGACTGGAGGCGGACCACATGTTCCCTCGTCGCCCTCCAAGCTGGCATCTCCAGTATAGCGAGATCGAACGTTACGTTACCAGTCCCAACACTTAATTTACATACCTCGTAGGACCCTAGTTCTGGCGATCATTCTGGTTTATCTTTAGATTGTATTGGGCGACCCAATAATAAAGCACACCGACTTTTTTTCAGCAACGGCTTAACTTAAATCCAGCTGTTAAATAATTTCGTAACGAAAATGGCCAATAGAAATTAATGAAAAATACTTTCAGCTCCATTCAATAACCGCTAGGTGGCGTATTTTCAATTTCAAAAGCTCAAACGTCATTATGTTGCAAATACGCGTACTAAATATAATGACTTAATAACTCGATTATGTTGATTAACTCAATTTTCTAACTTTTTTCGCAGTGTCATTTTTACATATTTTGTTTCGCTTAGGGTGTGGAAAGAGAAGAAGTAATATAAATTCTGTTTAGCCGCATCGATTTTCACTATCTTGGTTTCATTCGAAATAACTTGCCTGCGCTTCTACTGAAAGCTTAGTCTTGTAAAATTAGTTCACTGTATGGCCATTATATGGCGTTTTCTGAACGTGTCACCTTTTTTTTAATTGCATTGAAACTATCGAATACAACGATATACCTTCTAATATTGCGCGGAAAAGGCACATAAGATCATATAAAACGGCGAAAACCGCAGATCCAGAATATTTATTGGTTATGGAGACATATTGAAAAATATGCTTGAATTACAATTTTCAAGTACTACTGGATAAAAAGGAAACAAGCCACGAGTAGTTATGTAAAATGTATCAATATGGAATATGGAAAACGAAGATTCGCAGAACTCCATCGACAATGAAACTAAGTATTTATTAAAGATTATCAAGGAACTTGAGGACAAGAACGCCTTACTTGTCGAAGAACTTGGATTGTGGAAGCAAAAATGTAGATCCCTTGAAGAAAGGCTAACCAACACAAAAAACGAAAAAGCAGGTTCATCATCGTACTCCAACCAAGTAAAAAAGGTAAACATAAACACTACGGCTAAGCAACGTGAAGCCAGCAGTGCCAGCAGTGAGGCGACGGTCGTGACCTCTAGGCAAACTGTCAGTAATACAGAAATCCGGTCTGAAGTCTGCAACGATGAAGTGGCGACTGCTCCGGAACTAGAAGACATCGCTAGTGAACAACAAAAAGAAGAATTCGAAGGTCGTTTCGAGTTCCAAAGAAAACAAACGCGTAAACAAAAATATAACCATCAAAAACAAAGAAAGTCCCTGGAATATGGTGAATGTAATGACGAAGAATTTAATCTTGCCGGGGATAATAAAGATAAAAAAATTTGGCTTTTCCTGTCGAAAGTTAATGAGACCATCACAGCAAATACAATCAGCGATTATATTGTAAAACACGCAAGTACTACTGCCAATGAAATACAGGTAAAACAATGTATACCAAAGTCTCAAAAGAGTAGAAAAAAGAACTTTATGGTGGGTGTAAATCCTGAACTTAAAGACAAGATATATAATATCGCTTTTTGGCCCAAGGATGTTGCATTTGGAAGGTTTAACTTTGGGTTGGGTAGAAATTTTTTAGACAGATGTCATACAGGGTAACTAATGTACACTGCGACCACCAAACACCCTCCACATGGGCAACTGATTCTGGCAGCCAGGGCTCTGAGAGTCATTGTATATCTGTTATGCACCTGAACGTACAAAGTATAAATAACAAAATTTTGGAAATAAAAGTTCTGCCTGCAGAAAAGAAACCAGACATTTTTTGTGTCTCAGAGCATTGGCTGCAGCGAAATGATATAAACTCTGTAGTTTTAGACAATTATCTGCCCATCAGCCATTCATCACGAACAGAATTCCGTGGAGGAGGCACAGCAATTTTTGTAAACTCAGACCTTACCGTTGAAAGCTTAAGGGCTAACACTGAGTGTATTGAAATACACTGTGAGTATTGCATTTCACAATTTACATTAAATAATAAACATTATATTGTGATTTGTATATATAGGTCACCTACAGGGAATTTAGATTTATTTCTATCTACGCTTCATGAAGTTTTAAATTATGTTAAATAAATATCTGCTGGTTTGCGGGGATTTTAATGTAGATTTCTTAGTTCATTATGATGGAGTTTTTTCTGTGACACAGCTTATGGCCAGTTATGGACTAGTGTCTCACGTGAAAGGCATAACGAGGATAGGTCCCATTCGGGGCACTCAGCTTGATAATATGTTTAGCAATATACCTGATACACAATGTAGCATTATAAAAATAAATATATCAGACCATTATGGTCAGAGCCTTAATTTTACATTAAATAGCAAGGTTCCTAACATCAATTATGCAAGGAAACGTTTTTTCGCGGCTTCCAACATCCAGCGCTTCAAAGATCTGCTGAGCTCCGAGACCTGGAATGATGTATATGGTTCAGTTGGGGTTGAGGAGAAATATCAAACCTTCTTTAACGTACTATTTCATTATTTTGACATTTCTTTTCCATTATGTACCTATCGATTAAAATTCAAAGTACAAAACTGGGTAAATGAGGAGATAAAAGCATACTCTAATTATATAAAAGATTTGTATGTTTGGTCGAAGATTACACATAGCCCTAGAGTATATAATCAGTATAAAATTGTACGACAAGAATACCGGAAATTTCTGTCGAATTACAAAATAGCTCTAAATGAAAGTAAAATATTAAACTCAAAAAACATGACAAAAACTGCGTGGAGTATTTTAAACGCAGAAACTAATACAAAAATTAAGCGTTCCATTGAGCTAAAACTTAATAATGGTGTAATAATAAAAGATCCCGAAAAAACTGCTGATGCCTTTCAGGAAAGGTTTGATATCTCTCCACAATCCCATGGCAGTCTTGATATTTCGGAAGCTAGTGCGATTCCCACTTTATTTTTGCTTCCTGTTGACAATAGAGAAATTAAACTAACTTTGGCGAGTTTGCCAAACAAATTTTCAGCTGGTTTGGATGAAATCCCGGTGGTAGTTCTAAAGCAGATATCTGACTATATATGCGAACCTTTAGCTTATATTATTAATGAATGTCTGTTTTCAGGAATTTTTCCGTCACATTTAAAGAGGGTCAAACTGGTTCCCATTTACAAAAAAGGAGATGTGCATGACATAGCTAATTATCGACTAGTCTCACTGTTATCTTCTGTGTCAAAGGTCTTCGAAAAAGTCATATATTCAAGGATAATGAACTTTATCAAGAAATACCACATTTTAACAAAAAATCAATTTGGCTTTCGCCCAAATCATTCCACACAACTAGCACTATTTAAAGTTCTTACTTATATTGTTGAAAATGTGGATAAGAATGAAAAAGTGACCGGTCTGTTTTTTGATCTGTCTAAGGCCTTCGACACCATAGACCATCAAATACTCCTTAAAATTCTGTCTAAACATGGAATACGAGGTAAATGTGCACAGCTTATAGAGTCATACCTTGACAGTAGGGAGCAGCTTGTCTGTATAACCCAAAATGGTGTTAGGCATTTTTCATCAGTTACCTTGATTAAACAGGGTGTGCCGCAGGGATCAATTCTGGGACCGTTGTAGTTCCTGCTCTATGTGAATGGTCTTCGTGACAGATTTATGGAAGGTCTGATTTGCCAGTATGCGGACGACACTACTGTTGTGCTGACTGCGTCGGACATGTCTGGCTTGTCCGGGGTCTGTTCTTGTGCAGTGGGGACCATGCAGGATTGGTGCAAGGATTATGCATTAAGATTGAATGCTGATAAAACTGGACTTCTCACGTTCAGTAAATCATCTGCCAGGGATGAGTCGCTGTTGGTTCGTTGCAATAGCGGACCAATACCAGAGATGACCGATATAAAGTTTCTGGGCATTTACCTGGGTTCGAGTCTGAATTGGGATTGTCAAACATTTGTTTTGGTTGGTAAGCTCCACAGCTTCTGTGCGTTGGTGCGGCGGCTGCGAAATGAGGTTTCCTTGAACACTTTACGGCAATTTTATTATTCATCTGTACAGTCATTGTTAACTTATAGTATAATGTTCTGGGGCTCTTCGCGGGGTGCCATGTCAGTTTTTATAGCGCAAAAGCGCATCCTGAGGTGCATTTTGGGAGTTCATCCTCGAACATCATGTCGGGAACATTTTTCAAGATTGGGATTCTTGACGGTTCCATCACTATATTTTTTGGCACTTGTTTTATTTGTTAAAAAGCATATGTATCTTTTTAATAGTAACGCACATTATTATGCTAAAAGTATGACCGTTGTGACCAGAGGCAGAGAAAATCTGAGTGTGCCTGCACATTCGTCCGCATTTTTTAAGAGGGCTCCATTATACATGGCTGTCAAAACTTTCAATATGCTTCCTATAGATATAAAATCCGAGAGCAAGCCTATTAGGTTTAAAAGAGCGGTGAAAAAGTTTTTGCTGGACAGATGTTTGTACAGCTTTGATTTTAACATTTGAGCTCCATTATTTTATTTTAATAACATTTTAAGCTAAGTTGTGACATACTGGACTTTTATTTGTCATTTTAATAGTTTTTAATATTCATCGCTTGTGGTGAATAAATTTTGTTAGTATGTATGTATATTGTGAGACTAGACTAGAGCGGAGCTACGTTATGCATTGATTGGTAGAGGGTCACTGGGAATCATTTTAGTATTTGCCAGCAGCTGTGCACCCATAGGTCAATATTGCATGAAGGACCTTTTACTTTTTGTCGAAGATTCCATATCTATCTAGGCAGCAGCGGTGGTTCGAATCCGGCCCCAAGAGAATTTTTTCTCTTGGCTAAGGATGTTGTGATTCTCCGTAGGTAGTAGATGGTCTCTGACTGTCCAAAGCGGAGGTACCACCCGGCAGATCTCGTATGCGGGGCCCGAATCTGTGCATGTTGCATTCACACGTGTTCCCTCGTCAGAGTCCGTGTGGCATCCCTCCCTCTCCTCTATAGCCCCATGGGTGTTTAGGCGTTAGCCCTTCGTGGTAGTTGGAGTATAAAAATAATTTACTAAGTACTCACTTTCAAACTGCTCACTTGAACAACCCCTTTTTGCATACGATACCATGATCTTGATCTAAAATGTCTGTACTGTATACGCGGAAATCCTTCCCCTCCACCGCCCATAATTCGAATGTCTTACACCTCAAAATTCAAACAGACTGCTTCGCCCTCAGCGCGGTTTTGTATATAAGAGATTTAAATTCCTCGTACCTTCAATACCTACCGACCGTTCCCGTCAAAATTCAATATTGAACATGGACTTGTTGGTAAATATCTTGCGGAAAGACCTGTTGCCACTTGGAATTCTTGGAGGGTTTCCACGGCGAACGTCACGTAGTCATTTTATTGGCGCCATCTTTGCTAGGCGTACAACGTCGAGCAACCGGTTGGCTGCCAGATATAGCGAATAAAGGGTCGTACGTGGTTGCCACACATTTTGCTAAGCTCACAATTATCTTCAAAAATCAATTATTCGTATACGTAAAAATGGAGAGACGCAGATTGGCTACTTTCCACCCATTGACACAAATATGTTGAAGATAATGGTCTATCATCGGTCATACATTTTTTTGATGACGCTGTAGATTACCCAGAAAGCTAGATAATGTCGAAACCTTAAGTCTGGCATATGTATAAAAAATCCCGACATCTTCAAAACGAGTCGGATTTGGGACCTTCTGAAATTTTTCTTTTTTGACTGAAAAGGATTTCGTCCAAAAAATCTTGTGGGCAGATTTTGTCCTCCCAACAATGCCCTAATAGCATTCAGAAAATGCGCTTTAGTTCAAGAGAAATGGGCCAATGAAGAGCGTAATAGTGATTTAACTACAATCAAGAAATGCTAGCTTTCCAAAGTCATGACGTGGCGTATCTGCTTTATTTTAACGAGTTCTACGTTCTACATATCATTTTTTATATAATCTTTTATCATTTTTATTCAGTTAAGCTTTTTATACAGTACCTTTCAAAAACCCTCCCCCTCCACTGGATTATGTTAGCAAGCTCAGATTAAAAGTAATTGAAATCAGGCATGAATACAATATTTTGACGCCAAAACGATATTTTTTTATATGGAATGGGGGTTCTGAACTGATCACCAATGCTTCAATACCTTTAGATATAAATTTACTACTAAACGGATTATCCCGATCTGCAATAAATTATAGGACAATTAGTTTGGAAGAAGAGATTTTAGTATGAAGTATATATCATACTAACAGGAAGAGAAGATTGATATACTGAAAAATTGTATAGGAGAACAAAATTGCTGATAATACCAAGATGATTGACAACAGTTTCATTACGATCGAAGAAATGACTGATGAAATCGCATATACAAAAGCATTAACTTTAAACTTTTTGTTTATTCAAAGTTCGTTTTTGAATGTAAATATTCTACTCCTAGTGTCCGTTTCTAATAGATATAATTAATAATTAATAAATGAATATTTCAATAGTTATGCATAGGCTAACCGAAATCCGCCAAGCAGTGCAAACAAAAGTCAAAAGCAAACCTGTTTTACCACTGTCCCACTTTTTTATACAAGCTGCATAATATGCCATGCGTCACTCATATGTTTGGCTCAAAAATACTACGTCCGCTATTCTTAACTTGTGTAAGAAATTAACACATATAATAAACAATATGCTGGTTTAATCGAGAATTAAACTCATTAGAATAGAACTGTTAAGCCACGACATGAGTCCGAAAAAACAGCATTTTGAAACGTAACTATGACACTGTTCATTAGCCAAAATATTGTTATGGCTTGAGATGGAAGTTTGGACGAAAGCCGTGTTATGGTCCCAGAAACTTCTTCATGTCAGAAACAATTTTGGTCCTGGCACAACATCAATCTTATGTAAAAGTTTTCATCAAGGTCCGAGCTGTACTTATAGAGGAGCCAATGATTGCCAAGCAGTCTATAGTTGACAGATACATGTCATGTAACATCCTATGATGCGATCTGCTGGCAGCAACCATAACCATGGCTTGGCAGTGGTAGGTACCGTCGCGTTGTTGCCATGTCATCTGTTGGTGGCCGGTTCAACTGTCAGTCATCCTTCGTGGATCTAGAACTTCAAAAACTAAGCTCTACGATTACTAGAATGTT